TGCATACACAAGCACACAAATAACTCTATATCTTTATTTCTTTTTTGCTTCTCGTTTTTTTTTTCTTTGTAACTTATCGTCAATACTATATTGTTTTTACCAACATTGTTGTTTTTCTCTTTTTCTTTTTAGCACTATATAGAAACATATGGTTATTACTTTTTTTTTTGCCTTGATTTATTCGATCTGAAATAAGCAAAACACATACGTATATTAAACACGAATTGCTCTATTTAACTTCTTCTTCTTCGTCTTTTTTTATTATGCGGAACATGAGTCTAATTCAAGTTTTTCTTTCTTTTGTTTGTTCATTTCATTTTTGTTATTATTTAAAAAAAAACCGTACGTGTTTGTCTGTATGGATGTTTGACGATTTGCTAAAGATGATAATTCATTTGATATGATTCTTTAAATGGACTACAAGTGACATCTGATCAAAAAACAAAAGATTACAGATTGGTGATAGAAAATTTTCTTTGTTATTTCAAATTTTCATTTCAATAATCAGTTAGATATAAAAATCAATGTATATCATACAAATAGTCTTTTTCATTTTATTTATTATATCAACAGATAGTATTAATAATAGCTTATTATCTAATGATGTTCATCCATGTTTATCTCGATCTATGGAACAAATTTTTCTTGAATATGAACAAGAAAAATTTGATTGTTCATCACTTTCATCACAAATCCAAACAACACTTGCTATTCATTTTACATTTTGTCATTTAAATTCAACTGGTATTAATCCTAAAACAATATGTTCTTTAACATCATTTGATAGAAATATAAATGAATGTTTGAAAAATATAACGAAAAATTCATTTGCTTATTTAACTTATACAAATTTTATTCCACATATACAAAGTATTTGCTATGCAATTGAAACACAACAATGGCATAATCATATACGAAATACTGTTTTACAAATAAATATACATTCAAATCAAATTGAAACTGAAACAAAACAATTATTAATTGAACAAGAAACAATGCAAGCTAGTCTTGATCAAGCACTTATGATAAATCAACATTCTATTGATGATGCACTTAATGTTGATCGATATCTTCAGGTAGCTCAAACAGATGTAGATGAATTACAAGGACATTTGTATGTTAAAGATAAAGCACAAATTGAACTTATACAACAAGTAATAAGAATATAAGATGATTTGTTTTAGTTTGTTTTTGTATTATCATTCGTTTAGATATTAGAAATACTTTTTAATATTCAAACATCATTGTTTACGGATGCATTTGGTTTAAGTTCATATTTTTTCTATACAATATCACTTATTGGTATTCATATATTGACAATACCTGAACGAACAAGTGATTCAAAGTAGTTTGAAACAAAAAGAAATTAGAGTGTAGTACTTTCAACTTGTCTATCTTAGATTTTGGTTAATACTTTTATGGCTATGTTTGATTGGTATAGAACGTTATATGCTTATTTTCTCTTCATATTCTCAAGTAATACAAATATTCATATCGTATTATTTTATGACGGAAGAGAAAACATCTTTTAGATAATTCTTTATGATGTATTATGGCGTTTTCGTCAATTATGGCTTTTTGTCTCTTGTATAACATTGACTTATCATGCTGTGCGATATAGAAATTATTATAAAGAAAATCAGAAATTAATTGATGAGATTAATCGTAAACATAAAAAACTTGAAATAGCTGCTAGAAAATGTAAGATCTTAGAATAAAACAAAAAAATTTGATCTAATCATCGTTTTTATTTTCTCAATATTCAGGCTTAAATGTTATCAATCAATTGGATATGATTAATGGTATGTTTAGATATTATACTACATTTTGATGATATATTGTCATTTTTTAATGCGATAGATTCTATTTCTGATGATACAATAAGTTGTTCATCTGAAAACAATGATACGTCTACATCAAGTTCTTTAACTAATGATGAAGAAAGATAAAATATTTGATCATAATTTATGTGATTTTTTTTTCTTATGAAAGTCATACATGTTACAGTCACTTTTTTCGTTAAATAAAATAAAGTAGAAAATAATTAGGTATTATAATATATCAAAAAAGTTAATAATAATAATATTTTTTTCCATTCACAATTAATAATAAACTTTCTATCATTCTTATTTTGTAATCTAATAGAAGAACATCAATAAAGTAGTGCAAAGATACACGAATCTGACTAAATAACTGATCTCCTATCGTTATAAACCGCTTGAATAATGAACTAAATACAAAAATTTGCCAGTACAGCTCCAAGAAGAGACAAAGTATGAAACTCACAAATTCTGATTGTTATAAATTTATAACATATTGTCAGAGAAGTTCAAATAATTTAGTTAAAAAGAAACCGGCCAAATGAATGAATAAATTAGAATTATAATAATTTTTTTAGTTGATACACACGCTCTGCAATTTTATCATTTGGAAAAAATGTTTGCATGTAGAATATTTATTTGATTCATTTAACATCGTTATACTGAAAAGCTTCTTTGTATTGTCAGCTACGTCCTCAATACATAACTTCTTTTCTCCAAATGATAATATATACGATACATGTCATAGGCAGTGACAAATATCATTTTATTCTTTGTTTCACCGGTTCAACCATCGTATTAGCCTGCTTTACACATTAATTTAACTCCAAGCACTCCATCCTTTCTCTCGACGAGCTTTGACATATACCAGTGAGTTTTGTTGAAACTTAGGATACCATTAGTTTTCTATGTTCGTTTCATTCTGACTCTGCTAGATCAATAATATCATCCTCCTACTGTTTGACACCTACGATAAGGTTCTTTCTTTGCATTAAATATCAAAGCCCACAATATTTAGACTAGTAAGAATCTCCAGTAGAAATCTTAGCTTTGTAGAATGAATTTGATGGTTCTATAAAGTTCTAGAATGATTAAAACACTGTTATTACTGGCGCGTCTTTTCCCATTGCTATGGAAACGTATCCAATAATGTTTGGTTTCACCCTCTTCCTTTCCAGTTGCTAGGACCTATGGCAGAGCCGCAAAAACCTGGACTTACACTTCCACTCATTATATTTTCTTCGAAAATATATGTGAGTTCCACAAAATGAAGCTTCAAAGACTAAAATATGTTAAAAAAGGGTGTGGCTGCGACTGTCGGCTGGTATGTGGAGTGTAGATGTGAGTGAAGGCATTGACATGGGTACGGGTATGTGAATGCAGATGTAGGTTTTCTCTTAATCCACACCCAGACCCCATACCCACACTCACACTCAGATCCACACCCATACGACATTCACACTAACACCCTCGTTTCTGAGGGTGCCCTTAAGAAAAACCAAATTTTATAATTCATTGGTGTAATATTAATTGTAATGAAGTTCGCAAATTTTTTTAACAATCTTCAGAATTCTCGCATGTCTTATTATTTAATGATGCTGATATTGAAGTATAACGCAAAGATTAATATTTATTGCTATATCAATAGTTGTTCAACTAATTCACCACTTGTTATCCATGGAGTTGAATTGTCATGAGTAGTTGATATTAATTTATCTGTATGGTTCCAATGTAATATATAATACTGTACGAATATTCAATTATTTCTAGGTACATAAATTTTGAGGATATCAAATATCTCTTTATCCGATACTCAAGGGGATCTTTCATTATTTAGCATTTACTGTCGTTCAATGATGTCAATAGCTTCACATCATACATAAATGAGTATCGGCGCGTGTAGTCCATTTAAACTGTGTTTCGTTTTACCAAAATTTGTTTTTTTGTTTGCCGTCATTTTTTGTCTGCTCTCCATACGGTGTACTTTACTATTACCATGAGCAGTGCTTCTCAAGAAAGCACTGGATCGAAAGAAATTGAAAAAGAAAACGACGAAAAGAGAGGCAAAAGAAAAATAAGTAAAGCATTTTATGTTGCACAAGTAACACAAGTGTTCTTTCGCAAACAAATGACGGATTCTCCATATAGAACATTCAACCAAGTTGGAAATTATTTCTGTGGAAGCTTTTTGAAAATTTTTATTCTAAATATTGTATCTTGGTAAGTAACTTACGACTATACTTCCTAAGCGAGTCTTCATGAGTTTTAAACGCTATAAGTATAACGAATGTATGATTAGAATATTAATTACAAAGAATCGAGACAAAAATGAATGGATATTCACCACAGACTTTCGCTTATCTACACGACTGATGATTTATTCTTAGTCGGAACTCCATCGAGTGTACCTACCTGTATGCATTATACAGTTTCATTAATTCAATGATTCTTTCCTGTAGAAATATGTCCACATTTTAGATGATCACCTTTCTATGTATGTATCCTATTCTATTTATGTCATTTGCATGATTTTCTATATCGAGAAGGAACCATACAAGTAATGTCACTCATTATTTCATAAAGACTAAATACGATGCTTTCAGGGTGTGGGTGTGGGTGTGGGTGTGGTTTCATCTGATACAACCATACACCCACACCCCACATCCACACCTCACACCCACCCACACTCACCCACCCACACCCACGCCCACACCCATAATCACACACCCACACTCTTCCTTCGGAGACTCCTCAGGGAATTTTTGTTCTTCACTACTCCCTGACTACATCGAAATTCTCTAAAGAATCGCTAGAGAGTTCCTGGGGACTCAGTGGAGAGTTCACATATTCTCGGAGACTCCCTAAGGACTTGCTGAGGGACAATGGATTAGGGCCATCTTTGCAAGGAACAGTATCATCTTCTACAAAGCATGATTTCTCACACATCAGTAACAACTCTGGACAAAACCTACAAAGATAAATTACAAAAGAATAAATGGTTGCTAACCCTCTCTGACAGTACATGCAACGAAGTTATTTCCTTCTTTCTTGACGTTTGCAATCAGCATTCCATGCTGTGATTGGGTGAATACTTCTTTTGTTCAAGAGCGAATCAAGAATAAAAATATATAGATGATCGTAGTTGTCATCAACAAAACTTTCCGTTGGGTGTTGGTGTAGGTGTGGGCCTAATTGTCAGGATTTCAATAACTCACACCCACACCCTATATACGGAAGCACGTGACTGCAAATAAATACACATACATACATAAAACCTAACTTATTGGGTTTTTTCCGTTTGCTGGTCCTTTAAGTAATGGGAATATACTATTTAAAAGATATCCTATCACATCAAACATTTTGGAAACGATTTACAGCGATTTTAAGTCGGTATGTGGCAATAGCAATTGGTCTCAACCGGCATTGGTATTAATGATATAATTATTGTTAAGTCCTTGATTTTTTCAATAAAGAAAGATTTTTCGCGGAAATAACAATTTTTTATGAAGTTTGATCAAAAGCAATGAAAGTCGGAGAATTTAAACCTGCAATTAGGTTCTTAGAGTTGTGTACTTGCAGTTTCGATTAAAGAAAGATATTTTTGAAAAAATTATGTTTTGTACTAAGCTTGACTGTTAGTGGAAGGAATTAGTTTACTTGACTAGGCAATCAAGTTCAAAATTTCCAGAAACTAATAGCAGATTCGAACTTCCCGCATGCGAAAATTTTTCCTAAACTTTTATAGAAAAATTATTCTTTGCTGAAAAGGTCCTTTCTTTGACGGACAAATTAGGAATGTAACGGTACCAGTACAATCAATATGAAAGCTAGTCAATACCAATCCCATTCGATGCCGATAATTCACTGCTATATTGTTATTGTAACGTGCTTAATTTTATGGTTTCAAAAGATTCTCAAAGATTTCCAAAGATTCCCAGAGATTTCTAAAGATTTCCAAAGATTTTAGATGTCAACATCTGCTTCTTCCTCCTTTGTCTTTATTAAACTTGCAATGATAGTTTGCACACCGAGTGTATGACGTTTCTAAGAAAGTGTTGACACCAATTTTTAATCTTCAACTTCATTCGGCTGGTATTTATCGTTCTAGATTATCTACGGTCTATCCATCATACGGAGAAAAACAAGGATGGAGAACAAATTTTTGGACAAACGTGATGCTATCCATCAGGATGAAAGTTCAAGTCCGATTTATGGTTACCAAGACCAACGAATCGTGACATTGGAAGAAGCTGTTCAAAGCATCACACATGTCATTCCTAACGTCATTAATTACGCCACACAAGCAAAGACGCAATGCAAGAAAAAGAGTATATTAACAGAAGATGAATCTGCAGCTATCTATCTCTACACGATGGATAGCCCATTTTTCTCGACACTAAACCATCATCTTCGAGCTATGGATAGAGAGGCACTAAGACCATGGTTCATCTACTTGAAACTCTTCATTACCGCTCTCAACAAGTTACCTTCATTCAAGGGCACTGTTTGGCGTGGTACACGGGAGAGAGTCAATTTTACCTATTCCGATTATACTCTTCAAACTTGGTGGGCAGTAACTTCTACGTCGAAAGATCTCGATTTTATCAAAACAAATTTTCTCGGCAAAACGGGTACCTTGTATGATATTGAAACGACAAATGGCAAAGATGTTTCACAGTATGCCGCTATTCCCAACGAACAGGAAGTTATTCTTATGCCAGGTACACGAATACAACTCAAGAGTGAGCCACTTGAAGTCAACAACGGATCACTCATGCTTTATTTCAAAGAATGGTGAGTGAATTGTTTTCACCTGACGATTAATCTTTCGCATAAGTAACTTTGAGTGTTATGAATCTTTCTCATTTATATCAGAGACATCAGCTTCTGAGAAAATCATCAATCGTCGACATACATATATTGTTGACATTTCTATCTTTTAGTACGAGTATACCCCAAGGCAAACACGTCATGGTTTCCCATGATGTCAGTGATGAAGCTATCATCTTACAAATACTTCAAGTTCTGCGCGATCAATCGATCCCCATTTGGTTTGATAAGCACAGAAAAAGGAGTGATAATATTCACGACAGGTATATGCGGTCGAATTATTGTCATGAGACTGACTG